TCTTGAAAAATGTTTCCTCGATCAGGACTGGCAACTATAGTCAGTGGTGCTGATGAGTATATTCTGGTGTTAGAATACAATAGCTCCATCAGAATACAATAGCTCCATGGGAGGGATTCCCCTGTCCACATGAGATGTGTGGATGAGGGAATCATTTATTTTTTTTTCCGTTCAACCCGCTAGTTGAATGAAAGAAAATGGATCATTTATGACCTGCCTTAATGTTTTATTTTTATATCTGCCTGGAGTTCAGACAAATCTGGGGCTCTGTCAACTATAAACCAAGATCAGAACATTGTGTAAAAGATTTGGGCACTGCAGCAATTACTTTTGCTTTTCAAATTTATTTTGCCTTTGCTGAATAATCAGAGGTTTTGTCACCTTTCATTTAAATTTCTAATCCTTTTGAAGAAAGCAGGAGAGAAGCTGGATAGAACTGAAGCTCTCATCATTGCTTTGTACCTGGTTGCTGCACACAATTATATGACAGTGCATAGCGTGAATGTAAATTGGAATGTTGGCAGATTCAGCGGAGACATGTTACTTAATTGTCTTATTAGTGTGTCACAGTCCGCATGTGCTAATTTGTTAGTGATGCATTCTTTTTTTTTTTCTTTTAAATAATAAACGGAGCACTAGATACTGCTTTCACTTTGCCTTGCAAATCATGCCCAGTTTGTCTCATTATAAAGAGATAAATTTTCTCATGAAACAATCTATTGAAGTTACATGTGTAGCCTGTACTACTTCAATATTGCTAGTAGGGCCTCATGGAAACATGAGCTCAAAAATACTGTTTTAACAGGCATTTGAGCTTTTTTACTGCTTCTAAACTCCCCTCAGTGTTAGCGTATGTGTCCACGCACACTATAAGCGTTTACAGCTGACACACCTAAAGCGGGATAAACAAGCATTTAACACTTGAGCATTTTTTTCATTTCAAATGGCAATAAATTAATATTCTGACCAGTTAAATAAATACATGCCAAAGTGCTTGACGTACCTAAAAGCATTTGAAAAAACACAGCTTAGGAGCATCTTTGCAGGTCTACCAGGAGAAAAGTACTTAGAAGTGCCCCAATGTTCATGCAGGGACATTTTCTGAAAGCAGTGGATCTGTGTGCAAGATCATAAGTTGGGCCCTCCTGCAAGAGAAAAAGAAAGCGTGTAACGCTGTGCGTGCCGTGGCAAATACTAGGTGTGGTTTGCTGGATCTTTGTATAGATCTTTTGCTGCAGCAGCAAGTGACAATTGTAGCTGCAGCAAAGACACAGAACTGAACAGCATTACCCATGTTGTGCAACATGTGAGGGCACAGTGCCTCCCCCCCCCCTTGGGGCCTGTGTGCACCACACACATTGCACCCATAGGAGGATATGTTGCTGAATCTGTGCCATTACTATCAAAGGGGCAGTGTAAAGCCAGCATTGGGTCTGACTATAGTTGTCTGAGCACAGCTGAAAGCAGTAGATCTGGCAGGTATTATCTGAGATTTAAGGGCTAGCTAAGTGGCAAATGATAAGATATCACATGACTTCCTATTTCAGCCTCTCTCAACCAGGTTTCCTCCAGAGGTTGCTAGGGGTGCTTTGAGCAATGGACAATTTCAACCACTCAAAAAAGTAACCACTGACGCCAATTATCTTTTTTACTTTCTGCACCAGGGGATGCTTCCCAATAATCACAAATATAATGAGCATTTGCCCCTGTTAATGTAGTAAGAGCTTCAGATGGGGTCCTTTATAGTAAAAAGGCTGTCCTACATTCTTTGAAAATATATAATCACCAGCTGCTGCAAATCGACATTTCATGGGGGTACATTTACAGGACTGAAGTTTTTATGTTACAGTCAATAAGCACACAGAACCAGAGAACAGATGTAAAGTAAGGTATTAAAATGCTTGTAACAAAGGGTGTAGAGGTTACCCTCCTACAGGCTCAATAATCTGGGACAGACTATCAAAGAACATTATAGTGAGAAAACAAGCAAAATAAGAGACATTCCCCAAAGAGCTTTCGTAATCTACTTTATGACTTTCTTTCCGAAAGTTCACATTACATTGTTTACAATATAACTTTTGTTATTGCTGAGGATCAGCCACAATGATCCCATCCATCAGAGCCTGCCTTCCAGGGAGAAATTTTACCTGCCATCAGATTCCTATTTAAAATGCTAAATAAAAGCTATTCAGACTTTTACTGTGTTTCCCATGGTAAGGAAAAGGTGTGATTGAGCGCAGACTGCTGCAGTGAATTCTCCAGCAGCATTTTGTATAGTGTACAGGGAGCACCCCACAGTCATTGATACACAGGGCCTGCATGCAGAACATTCCATCGTAAGGGAAAAATATTTTAAAACATCAAATCTCTGTAAAGCAGACAGTCAATAATTTAAACAGAATGACACCCAGAGACCTAGAACAAAAATGCCATTAAATGATAAGTCTGTCTGCACATGAGTGTAAGCAACACTAATCATTCATAGACAAAAGTTTTACGTCAAAAATAGTGATTGCAGCTGTGCCTTTGGCATGTGAAAGATAATGATGATCTCATTTACTACAGAGATTTGACAATATTTTGTGTATGTTTTCTAGAAAGCATGATTTAGATATTAAAACTGATATTTATGTTTGGTTATAGATGCTGGAGAGTTAACCCCTTCCTGCCCACCACAGAGTCCCTTTAAAAGGTTCTGAATATCCGGGGGTAGGATGCATTGGTAACCATGTGACCACTGTTTTCGGCTGTCTGTAATACTGGCTGCCAATCATTAGTGAGGATCGAGAGTCATCTTTGACATTGGTCTCTGTGCCAGGATTGCTAACCGTCCGTAAATTTATGGACAGTCCATAAATTTCAACCCATTTATGGGTTGTCCAGAAATCACAACCGACATGAGCAGTTCCAAAGCGGACCAGGCTCAGGCAAGCTCATGTATGCATGGACATTTTTGGATGGGCAGGTGCATGAGCACTGAGTCAGTGACGTCATGGTGCCTAGCGCCATTTTTGAAAGGACGGCAGTTGGCACTAGGTAGCACATCAGCGGGCAGGCCTTCCACCATGGAGACTGAACCCCAGCCCACACCATTGACCATTGTTGGAGTTTGTGAGGACTCCCACCACCACGCCACTGTAAGCACAGCCACATGAACTTCAGGAAACCAGACCCCTGCACCATCCATGGTTGATGTCCACACTTGAGGACTGATGTGAAGAGGCACAGCAGTTATCAGACAAGAGCAGCAGTACCTGGTGAGATTTTAAATAATCACAGATGTCCACAGTCTCTAGCCATCTCCTGTATCATGTCCAAAGCCTTTAACCATCTCCTGTATCCTGTCCTCAGCTTTTTACCATCTCCTGTATCCTGTCCGCAGCCTTTAACCATCTCTTTTATCCTGTCTACTGTTTTGTTATGGTTTTGGGGATGTATTAGATATGTGCAAAGAGAGATCACACAAATACTTATAAGTAACATTTATTACAAGTAATGACAGATACAGATACCAAAGAAAATATAACAAGAATACCTAACTAAAGATGCTGTCTCCGTCACAGGTCCCTCCATTATATGGCGTGGCCGATGATCAGAACAGATGCTTAATGCAAGCTCTAGGTCAAGACAAATATTTCCAGTCTAGCTGTGTGTTATATACTGGACTAGGGAATGTCCAGCCCCGAACTACAAACAACATCATGACCTTCTAAGGAAAATGACACATTCCTGAAAAGAAAGAGGGCTGGCTTGTCCATATAGTCATATTCCTTTATTATTTAATTAAGCTAATCAGACTTTGTCCTTGTAGAGCCCTTTAACCAAGGCTTGGAGTCATTCTTAAAAATTAGTGAGCCATAATAAGGAAATGTGTAATATGCAATTTCCCTATCACCTGGAGCCTCTAACCATCTCCTGTATTATATCTGCAGCTTCTAACCATGTCCTGTGTCATGTCCGCAGCCTTTAACCATCTCCTGTATCCTGACCACATGCTCTGTCCATCTCCTGTATCCTGTCTGCAGCCTTTACCCATGTCCTGTATCATGTTTGCAGCCTCTAACCATCTCCTGTATCATGTCCAGAGCCTTTAACCATCTCCTGTATCCTGTCTGCAGCCTTTACCCATGTCCTGTATCATGTTTGCAGCCTCTAACCATCTCCTGTATCATGTCCAGAGCCTTTACCATCTCCTGTATCCAGTCTGCAGCCTTTACCCATCTCCTGTATCATGTTTGCAGCCTCTAACCATCTCCTGTATCATGTCCAGAGCCTTTAACCATCTCCTGTATCCTGTCCGCAGCCTCTAACCTACTCCTGCATCCTGTCCACTGCCTTTAACCATCTTGTATCATGTCTTCAATCTCTGACTATCTGCTTGTATCATGTCTGCAGTCTCTGAGGCGGAGCCTGGAGAGGAGTCAAGAGTGCAAGAGGAGTCAGACATGTGTGAACTGTAGAGAGGAGAATATAGGATGAACCCAGAGTCACCAGACTAGAGCCCAGAGAGGACCATCTGACTGAGCCCTGCATGATGCACCTGAGAGGAGGTCAGTGACAGTTCTGCAGGGCCAGTCTGAGGGGAGGTCACTACTGTAAGGGGGGATTGAAAACAGTAAGGTAAGAGGGGCACTGATATAAAGATTCCCCCTTATATCAGTAACCCCCTCTACATCAGAGTTCCCAGTGTTCCCCCTTACATTAGAGTCTGCAGGATTCCCTCTTACAGTGCAAGAGGGAACTCTGCGGACCCTGATGTAAGTGGGAACTCTGATGTAAAGAGAAATGTAGAGGACTCTGATAGAAGGTGGTCTCTGGTCACCAGAGCCCCCCCCCCCCTTACATCAGAGTTCCCCTTTACACCAAAGTCTGCAGCACTCCCCCTTACATCATGATCCGCAGCATTCCCCTTTACATCAGAGTTCCCCTTGCACTGTAAGGGGGAATCCTGCAGGATCCGATGTTAGGGGGGACTGTGTGCTGGTTGGGTTATATTAAACCTGACCAGGGACAGACTGACAACTCATGGGGCCCCTGGGCAATAGAGGATCATGGGGCCCCTGTGTCCTTGCCCAAACTCAAAAAAGCCTATGAAAAAGGTACCAGGGGCATCTCATGGGGCCCCCTACTGACCCCAGGCCCTCGGGCAGTGCCTGAGTTTCCAAATGGTCAGTCCGCCCCTGAACCTGACATTTATGTAAATGGAGAAACATGGTTTTTGACTTTTGTTATAACTTAAACATATTGCTAATAGCACTAGTTACATGTTTGTAGCTACAATATTAATATTTGCACTGTTTTGCGCTTAAAACAGACATTTCATGTACTTTTTTGAAGTGTCAGCAAAAAATATGGCATCTAAATTAAATTTCATGATTTTTGCCAGTAAAAGCAGTGGTGCAGTTTGTAATTTTTGGGTGACCTGTCAGTAAATTTCACTTTGGGGGGTTGGCAACACTGCTCTCTGCTGGGAGCCCACAGTGAGCATACTCTCATCACAGAAACATCACCCACCAAAAGACACATACTGTATGTCTTTTTGCTGCCACAAATATGTATTACATAGGCAGCAACAGGTTAAAGTGTCTTTTACAGTACTCAGAACATGAAATGCAATTATTTTAGTAAACTGCCAAATACTTTTTCTCATCTGGTTAATCATGTAGGAGGAGTTTTCATTCTCTTCTGACTGTCCTATGAGGCTGCATGACCCCTGATCCTCTGTCTGGACAGCGCTGATTGGCACTGTGCTTATCACATGCACCCGCTCAGAAAAAAAAAAAAAATCTCTAGTAATACTCGAACAGAGCATGTGCAGACTTGTCACTGCTGCTCTGTACTATGGTAGATGGATTGGGGACAGTTAAAGAAGGGGAGGAACAGAGAAGACAGGATCAAACAGCCTTTTTACACAATGCGGAGGGTTAACACCTTTCACAGTGAGTATAACAAGTATGCTTTACTGCATATATGGCTGATTTTACTGTTGTGGCTTTTGTAACACTTTAAAGTCAAACTCCAGGCTCTTTGCTTCCCTCTTCACCCAGAGGACCCCCTCTCCTCCTTTATCCTATCTCTGGGTCTTCTCCTGGTTGTGGGTGGACCTAGATGACTCTGCACTCAGTCTTTCCTTATTCTCAAAATGAAGACATCCTGTGTTGAAGAAGGAGTACTGTAGAGAACAGTTGAAGGTGCTGCAGATTGAAGGTGCGTAGCTCAGCCAGAGATTTTTTTTCTATACAGGTATTTAAGCCACTCAATAATGCCTTATCTACTGCGGACTCTATTAGTGAAATATCTGTGCAAATACTGGATGTTTACTCCTGCTATGGACATTATAAGTAAGTCCTATGCTCCCTGATTAAGTTTATATTTATATTTCATTATGAAAACGTAAAAGGAGGAGTTGGTAATTTCTGCATAGAAATCTCACTGTTGATGTATTCAAGACATAAGAAAACAGAAGCTAAGTGCACCAAGCTTTAACTACAGCCTGAAAAAATGATTTGTTAAGACCACAAATAAATTAAAGTTATCTCCAATGAAGAGTATTGGCTGATGTTTACAGGAAAATAAAAAAAATCAGTTTCATTCTTGCTGAAAACACAGCACTGTATTTTTGGCACTCCTGTCATTCACCTTCTCTTTCCTTTCCTCTTTAACTATCACAAAATCTCTTGTATTAGTTTCACAGAGAACAAAGTATTCTTTGAATGAACAAGGGAAGATACTGTCACAGAGAACAATTGTCACTCATCTGCCCTTTCTCCCCTTTTGTCCATTCACAAAACACCTTGTTTTGTGAATGGAAGGGGGGAGAATCTGACATCTGGCAACTAAACTGTTATTTTCACAGTAAACAGCAACCATCCAGACCAAGAATTTTAGCCTATTCCACTTGTGGTCCTCCTAAAATAACATCTTTACCTGAAGTTTAGTTTTAAGGCATGGTGGCCATCATTAATGTAGTGCAGTGATCTATAAAAGCACAGCCTGCGGGATGGATGCGGCCCTTTGTCTCCCTTTGTCTGGCCCTTGGGGCACTATACCTTCCACTAATATGAAGCACAATTCCTCCCATCATTAATACATGGCATTGTTCTTCCACTGACGCCAACAATGAGGCAACACCCCCCTTCCACTGACAGCAAAGATTGGGAATTCTTCCCATTGATCACCAGGCCTGAAGTTCATTCTCTGTTCTCTGGCATTTTCTACTCCCACTGGCCACATTCTAGTCTCCTCCAAAAGTCTAAAGGACAGTAAACTGGACCTTTAATTAGAACGTTTGGAGACCCTTGGTGTAGTGCATAAAAAACAATGGCTTCTATGGAATACCGTTTAGTGAGAAATTAGAAAGTATAATGGAATGATTTGCATAGCTCCATCCACTGTCCAAAAATGAGTAATGTATCCCAAACTACATACAGCTACTTAAATTGAGCTTCATTTTAAAAAACATAATAACAAACAAGTCATACTTCTCTGCTCTGTGCAATGGTTTTGCACTGAGTAGACCCGATCCTCTTCTTTTCAGGTCCCCGCCGGAGCTTCTGGCTCCTCCCCCTCAAGCAGTGCCCCCAGGGCAAGCCACTTGTCCAGGGGGAGCACAAGCCATTGCTCTATTCGTCCATAGAACTCATAGAACCCCTCCCCCGCTATTTCCTCATTGGCTCACTGACTGTGATCGACAATAGCGGGAGCCAATGGGCTGTCTCAGCCAATGAAAAGTTCCCAAACAGCAGAGGCTGTTGAGAATATCGCTGGATCGGAGGGGGCTCAGATAAGGATCGGGGGCCGCTGCACACAGAAAGTTTTTTTACCTTCATGCATAGAATATATTAAGGTATAAAACCTTTAGAACCATTTTAAGGCCTGTAGGTCATCATTTTTGCAGTACATGAAAATTATGCCTTCTATGGAGTGCGGTTTAGGGAGCAACGAGTAATTATCAAGCAATGATTTGTATGGGTCTACCCATTGTCCACAAATGAGGAATAAATCCCTCTTTTTTGGGATTTTGGTGAAAGTGAGATCTGTAGATCTTCCTGTTTTGTGGAGACTCTTTTGTACTTTGAACTGGTTAATGGAGGGCTTTTTTTTAGTTTCATAACCTCTGCTGCATTACCTACATTGTTAACCAGGGACTCATAATGGACTTTTTGAATAGAAGCAATTACATATAAATACCTTTTGTTTTGGGATGGCATTGGGATGTATTTCAGAATTATAACTGGAAGAATTTGAGTTCCTTTTTACATCCTCACCATAACTGACTTGTTATCATGGACTTACTGCTTCCAAACCAGTTCATACAAACCACTGCAAGACCCCCAGTCTTAGAGCTGTACATTATTACTATCTACTTGCTGTATATTACTATATCATATCAATTTTTGTGTAATCACACATTTTATTATGGTCCATTATTACTGTATATGTGGCATTCTTCATACTAGAATAGGACCATTTTTAGCCTCATTACTGAAGTCTGTTTCATGCTAATGACCTTAGGTACTGGTCGTCCTGTATTGCTGCAAAGCAGAATCATTTAAGCAGCAGGTATGTGTGACCCTGTGCAAATTGCATACAGAACAGAACAGAAGTGCAAAATGTAATCCTTGCCTTCTTTGTTCTGTAGAGTTGCTCCTGTAGAATAGGAAAGACTAGTTCTATGTGCACTTCGTACAAGGTCAGACATAAAAGCAGCTTGACTAAACTTACCGGTACTCTATAGCAATACAGGGGAGCAAGCAGCAAAGGGCATCAATGTTTCAGAGACTTCAGGACTAGAGTTAAAAAGACAATTATTATAAGGAAGTTGAAGAAAAGAAAAAGCATCAGTTTCTTCTTAGTATACCATACTAATCTTTGATGCTTTAAAAAAAATTATTGCTAAAGAACAGACATTTTCAATACGAATATAGACGTTTATAGATACACACATGGGTAGAAGTCGTATATACCCATAGATATCGTTTACAATCGCTAATATTTCCACTTTGTATTAACTCTTTTTTTCTGCACAGTTTACACCCAGTTTTATATTCACCAAATGTGGTTATCAGTTCTATTTATAATATACATTTCTTACATTTTTTTTTTAGTAATGATAATACTATATTTTTTTACATTATATAATTATTGTTATATGTATTTTTATCTATCGATTGTGTTTCTTTGCTAGCCCTGACGAAGGGAGAGTCCATTCCTCCCAAACATGTTGGCTTGATGTGCATGTCAATACTTCTCAATAAATGTCTATAGTATGAACCATACTTTAAAAGTTGTATTTCTCTTGACACAGGGTGCTCCTTGCTTCTCATCCAAGTCTATATGCTGAACAACCACAAGGTCATGCAGAAAAGGTAGCAGCCCAACCCCTAGGAGGGTTTTTCACCATGATCCATCATTGGGCAAAATCCACTGGAAGAGATTTCTTACTTTCTGCGCACAAAAATACCCACACATGACCAGTGACCAATCCAGTCAGTCCAGCATGGTCTCCAACACAAGCTATATAAGAGTTTAGATCATTTTAATATTTTTTAAACTCCACTGCAGTCTCTCCGTACTCTCTCACATGGTTTTTCCACATCACTGGCAGTTGCATCTCATGCACATACACCGCTACAGCCAACCTTGCTCCCTGAACTACCAAAACCCACAACCAGTCTTACCCAGCCTAACTCAGGCCAAACATTCAGAACAATGACACCTTGCCCTAAAATGTTTGTAAACCCTAAAATTTTCTCTTATTTGCCCTCTTTATGTGTGTTAAGTACTAAATTCACATGCATTACATTGAAGTACATATCTTGGAAAAACCTAACTTACTCTTCCCTCCCTTCTCCTAACACCTATTCTGACTAACCTGTGTAAGAAAGATCTATATACCGACCTATTTTCAGGCCACTCTGGTCCAGTCACATGATCTGACGCCTCTGTGTCAGCCAATGGCAGTTACAGGAGAGAAGAGGGAGCACCAAACAATGGATGGGCTATACGAGTGTATAAAGGTGGTAGTGCCTCTTTTAGAGAGACCACTCCCCTGACGTTAGTGGATGGAGCGCTGAACCCTTTATATCTGGTTTGCATGGGATCCTGGACAGAAGATATAAAGGAGCTGGTTACCCCTGACTTACAGCATGTAGGTCTGTAGCATGCAGAAGTAGTTCTTCTGGGTCTAGGCCCCGAGAATACTCCATGTGAGGATCCATTGCT